ACTCATAAATGCATCGTTTCTTGACAAAGATTTCATTTTACCCTCCTAAAAAAAATCTCTGACTCCGTGATTGTTCTTAAGACTTTCTTGTATGCGGTGGGACAGTGGATGTTAGATATGACATTAAAAATCTTTGCTGAAGACATATAGCATGGATAATGATCAACGAAACGCTGTACTACGTACAAGGAATATAATTATGGCTTTCAGTCATTTTCTATCCTTTAATTTCTTCGTTTCTTGTTAGAAAGCTAGGATCCAGCTGCACATATATACAAAGTTATTCTTAGAACAAAGACAGTTAGGTTATGGTTCTAATTAAGATAATTTGCTTTGTTAGTTAACGGACAGAATCGATGAAAACATACATTAATTGACAGTCGTCGCAGTTTTAATGAATCAATGATACACCACAAAAAGGAAAAGAAATACAAAAGAAAATTAAAGACAATAGACAAAGGGATATATATAGTTAGTATTTATTTATACAGTAGTTTTACACACTATATTTATACAAAATTTGAATCATTTATCTTTTTACTTTCAATTTCAATAGTTGAGATTTATTATTATTTTTAGATAAAAAAGATAATTATATTTGATAAAAATGACAAAAAATGAATAAATCTCAACCATATTAAAAGTTGACAGATGAATAATTTAGATTTTATATAAGTATAATGTATAAAATTGATATATAAATAAATCTAAACTCATATATATATATATACACATGAAGAAAAACTCTTCATTACATATCCTCAATCAATAAAAAGATAACACATTAAAAGTTTTAGCTAGGTTTCACATTAAAAACTTATCAAAGATTATTTATATAATGTTATAGGTTTCTTATACCATATTATAATAAGCTCCATGTTAATGTATATTTAAAGTAAAATGGTATATATACCTTACTCCGTTACACACTTATAGTTTTCGTTATTTGATCTGTTACATACTGATGGTTCACTCAAAACAAAATTGGGTGCATTTGGAAGTTAACAGATTAAGTAATGGGAAATTAACGGATTAAACAACAAAAAGTCAGTGTTGTTAAGATGTCAATTTAAAGTTAACATCTTTAAATTGTTGTTAAGATGTCAACTTTTTATTGAGTGATGATATCACAAGAAAACGTGGGATGTGAGTATACCGGTTGCACTTAAAGACTTTCTCGAATTTATGATGGGGCAATGCATATATTAGATAATAACTCAAAAATCTTTGCTAAAGATAGGATGGGTAATGATCTACGAAACGTTGTACGAAACAAGGAATATAATTATGGCCTTGGTTCATTTTCCTCGTTTTGATTTCTTTATTTCCTGTGAGAAAGCTAGGATCCAGCTGCACTTGTATACAAAGTTATTCTTAGAACAAGATTGTTAAGTTAAGGTTCTAATTAAGATAATAATTCTTTGTTAGTTAATGAACAGAATCGAGGAAAACATTGTTGCAAGTTGGTTTTAATTGTGCATCTTAGACGAAGATGGGTAAAACAAGAATATTGAATTCATTGTTTATGGTTTTAAACTAAGATTATGACTTAACAAATGAATTGTTAGTTATATGTTATGAATTAACGAACAGAATCGATGAAATCGTTATGAGAAAGGATTTAGCTGTGCAACTTGGACTAAGAGGGATTAACAAAAAAAAAAAAAAAGGGTGAATCACCGCGCAAGATAGAAATTTGTCCCTTCAAAAGATATTTTCTTCCTTATTACTATATTGTAATTAAGACAATATCTTGCACCTGGCCCTTGCGGCCTAGTGGCAATAGCCACCCCGGTGCATTCCCCCCTCCCCGGGCTGGGTTCGAAACTCGCCTCTTGCAAATATGTTCAAAAAAAAAAATTAAGACAATATCTTAGCTCATTTAAATTGGCTCAAATGTGACGTAAATCATGTTGGAAGCAAAAGATCAAATTTATATATTCATTATCACTTGAATACAATCCTATGGGTTTGATTTCTTTGGTAAGCAAGTTTTATTCTATAGATCAAATTTTATAATTCAAGTTTGAGGTTAGAATTTAAATAAATTAATTTTTTTGAATTAATACAACAAATCAATGGAAGATGTGTGACCTTAATAATATTACTTGCGGATGAATTAATTTTAAAATATATACAAAAATTAATCTAAAAACATTTTTACAATAAAAATTAAAAAATATATATTTTAACAAGTTATTCCTGTCGCTTTTAAGTATGAAAGATTTGTCTAATACTTATAGATAAAATAATAATGAAATAACTCCTTTTGTAGTTTAAAATATATAGAATTATCAATTTTTAGTATAAGAAATACTTAGAATATTCATAGTTTACAGTGTGGTTTAAGATGGGAGGGTCACAAAGGAAGAAGAAACAAAGAAACAAAAATGGAAGCCCCACC